ACTTAAGTGTTTTAAAGTGCTAACCTTTGTCCCTCTGGCATTTGCCCACATGGCCACTTTGGCAGCTAACAAAACCAGAGAAAACAAGTGCAACCAAGGAACCAACCATGCCCCTTCAAGACATAAAGGTCATAGTGTCCTGATCTAAGGATTTGCCAGAAAGGATTCCAAAGTCAGAAAAAGCAGCTAAGTTTTAAAAAGTATCTAAAATGGATGTTTCTTAAATGGGCAAAAAATAAAAATATACCCAACACCGAGAAACTGAGATATCACCGTAATAAATGCTGCTACTCTCTACGTACACGACTTTACCGGACAGTATTAAAGAAAATGGCTACTAGTAAGAAAAACACGGCAAAAATAACTATGCATCAGAGAACCTAGAGTTCAGATGCCAAGAGTTACTCTCTAAGGATAATTTGTCCTGAATCAGTCCACACTGTCCTTCTTTTATATATGTAACTGTTACAGGCAGACACCACTACCTCTTCTGGGTTAAAGTGTAGAAGAGTGTCCAAAAATTAGGCATCATACCGCAAACCCTTCATAAAAGCAGCCTTTGCTCCCAATTAAGTTGTTGACACAAAATAATTCTCAACTTACCAATTAAAAAAGGAAAACAAACTAGACCTGAGAGACATTTTTCTTTAATAACGCACAGCAACACCCATTACACAGGGCACCCATTAGCTTGGGGGAATGATGATCAGACTTCCAGGTCTAAGAAAGGTCAGTTTAAGAAAAATAAACACCAAAGATAGCAGCAATGACTTAACAAAAGGAGTGTTCAGCAGAAGCAGCAGCCACTATCTTGTTTGCGCTTAAAAAAAAAACTGGAATATAGATAAAAATGTAGCAAGTTTGGGGAATACCCCATAATTTGGAAGTAATTACACCCAAGGGCCCCCCCGTTTTTTTAAACATTCAAATCCAAAGCAGGTGGGAGAAGACTTAGCAAACTCACCATGGATACCACCCCCTTCATGACTGCCACTCTTGCCACAGGAGCTTAGATCTTTAACCAAGAAAAGAAAATACCTTCCAAATAAAGTGTCTGTCCCACAGCATCACTCACGCTACCTTCCAGGCACACTAATAATTCATCTAGTCAAGGTTCCAAGATAACACCCATCTAAGTGCTCTATTCACCAAGGATGTTAAAGCTCAGCCCCCAAACCAGTGAAAAGGCACTGCCATTATCTACCCCCAAGTCTCAGTCCCTCCCCCTGAGAAACTCCTGAAATGAGCCTTCAATTCTAGAGTGTACTCATCCTCCAAACAGAACCTCTTGAAGCATAACAGAAAAGCAGTAAGAGTGACAGCCCTTTAAAGAGACTAGTTCTCCAAAGACTAAGTATTTACAAAAAATTGTATTTACTGAGAAGTTATGAGTTAGGATGAGGTGGGGGAGTTTAACAAGATATTTTGCTCCTAAACGTGCTGCTTAAGTCGCTTTCTGCCAGGTTCTTCATGTGCAAAATAATGCATAATATACCGAAGCAATAAATTCTCTGAAAGACTCATGTGCTCTACTACTCCGCCCCCACCAAAAAAAGACAAAATAATTGGAGAAATCTTCAGAGGAAAGAATTTCTGCACTAATAGGCATAAAAGCCAATGGGCTTCAAACTAAAGCCAAATGTTTTTCCTCCTACACTTGAATTGCCTAAGGTGAAGTCTCTAAATCCCAAGCATTATCCATTTAAAGTTCATCACCCACACTTAATCCTTTACCATCAGCCAGTCAACAGCTGTATCTCTACTCTAGACCTCTCCTTTTACTTATCCAACCTATTTTCTACATAAGCTTGTGTTCAACACTCTTCCCAAAAAGGGTGGTTCACCTTGAAACTCTGTGTTGTCAAGGCCCCTGATGGCCTCCACTGCGTCCTCTGCCCGCTCCATGTGTACGAAGGCGTAATCTTTCACGATGTCACACTCGATGACTGGACCGTACTCCTCAAACTTGGCCCGAAGCTCTTTGTTGGTACAGGTGGGACTGATGTTGCCTACGTGCAACTTTGTGGAGGTTTTGCTCTTATTCTTGCTGGCTTCCACGTTGATGTTCACCCCGTGCAGTTTGTAGTGGTGCAGGTTGCGTATGGCATCCTCGGCCGCCGTCTTGTCCTCTATGTGCACAAAGCCGTAGTTCTTAATGATGTCACATTCCAGCACCTTCCCATACTGCTCGAAGAGTGAGCGGATCTCCTGCTCTGTGGCCTCCCGGGGCAGATTTCCGATGAACAGCTTCACCATCTCGGACACGGCCTGGGCAAGAAGAAACAAAATTTCTAACAAAAGACCTCAAGCCCATCTCAGTTAAATAAAAAAAAAAGAAAGAAAGAAAATCAATACTGCCACCTCCTTTCGGTCTGGCAAATATTTCCAGTTCCCACCCCCCCCACACGACCCACAAGCACAGCTCCATACAATAATCAGAAGGAAGTGGGAATATAAGGAGTCTGCTACACAGTACCAGCTATACAGAACCTATAAAAATGGGAAGGCATCTGTAACAGAGATCTTTAGGAACAGACAAAGGGTCTGGTAAGAGTTAAATAGTTTCAAACGGTAATCGAAATGAAAGTGAGGGCATAAATGTAGCCCTGGGGGTACTGGGCTTGCGATCTACTTTAAGGACAGTTAGGAAACAAAGATATAACTACTCGGTTGACTGGATTGACTATCTCAAATTATAAACTTGCTCTTCCTCCCCTAACCGAAGAATTAGCCATTTCCGGAAAAGTGGACCTTATAATGGCTACGTTTTACGGTTTCCTTTGGAAACAGTGAACCGGCGACTTGGGCCGAAGAGCGAGGCGTGAGGAGTACAGTAAGTGCTGGAGTGGGGAACGCCTCTCCTGGGGTGCTGTCTTACGACCTCCAACAGAACGGAGGAATGCGTGGCCAGAGAAGGGGGCTTAGACTCATCAGCCAGACGACAATGTCTCAGGGCCTGAGACATTCCCGAAACGAATCGTAATTCCTAAGTCTAAGGGAAGCGCGGTTATCTCGGCGGAAACCTGGAGGCAGTACGCCCAGCCAAGTCGGGTAGAGGGCAGGGTGGGGAAAAAAAGCAAGGTATTCTCGGGGGAGGTCGTGGGGGAAGGGCAGCTTCAGGCTTACCGCGCAACGCCGAGCACCGAGGTCGGCTCTCACTGAAGAGTGCGGAGGCCACGACCCCACAGGATATCCCTGAAGGCCAAGGAATAGGATAAAATTTAACAGGGCAAAAAAAGTGGAGGGGCTCGGAATCTCTCACCCGCACGGAAAGCAGCAGGGATCTTCCTCGCGGTGCGGACGCTTCTGACAAAACGCTAAAATGGCGGCGGCCGCAGCAATGACTCTGGGTAGAGAGGGGGAGGTGAGCCTACCACCGGATTGGCCCCTCAACAAAGTAAAAGGCAGGCATTCCCGTAGATCCTCTTCCTGATTGGTTACCACGAACGCCAATCACCTGAGGCCGGGAAGAGGTGGAAACGTCAGTAACCCCAGAACGTTTATGCGAAAGCCAATGAGCACCACTGTAGAGAAGCCGAAGTCACTGATTGGGTAAGAGGTCGGCGTGAGGGAGGAACTACCAACGTGGGCTTCGCCGGAGGGGTTCCGCCCGCCATTAGGCGGAGCGAGCTAAGGGTTCTGGTGTGGCGGTCTTTAGCTTCGTGGCGCCAACTTTCTGAAGCTTCCACCTCTCGCCAATCCACGTGTGCTCCATTTTGCCTTCTACTCCAAATTGCTCCCTCTAAACTCCCAAACACCACCTCCTCGCAGCCAGGATACTGCGGACGGTAGCTTACAGAAACAGAAGCCAGGTAAGAAAAATACTGGGAAGCGTCCCAACTTGAAGAAACCAACCTCCTCCTGCTTTGGCCAAGAATCCACACTGGAGCCCCGGGAGTCCCAGAGCTACCTCCAAATTGAAACTACTTTCATAAGTGGTGAAGAGCATTCTGAAAACGGTTAATGGGCTCAGCTTCATTAGGGTATAATGGCCCCAAAGTTGGCTTGGTTGAAGTTTGCATTACTCGGGAGGCGCCGAGAAACAGGTTCCGTCTTGGAACCAGCCTCTCGGGGTCCAAGATGAAGAAACGGCTTCTCAGTGTGACCGTGGAGACACAAAAACCCCCACCCCGCCCTGAGAAAAAACTGGAGCAGCAAAGTTTTTTGTTTTATTTTATTGGGCGCCATCAGGCAGAGCTGTAGGTTTAAACTCCTAGAACTGACCTTAGAGGCAAGAGCCTCTACCACAACCAGCTA